CTTTGTCAAGGACTCTTACAAAAACTGACACCATCGTAGATTAATTGAGAGTAAGTGATCACCTGGAACGGTGAATGAATCCAAATATCAAATCAATCAGCACGAATATGTAAACCGTGGATATGTTTTATTTACTAGATAATTCCATGATTCACCATATCCGCCATTATTCTTTTGTGCAGTGTATTCTTCATTCACTGAGCAACAAAAATAAAATTGGCCAGGTAGCGTATCTCTGTTTGGCGTATGTCCTTCTTCACCTATAGGGTATTGAAGGGTACCTAGCTGGCAGTATTTATTTCTTGAAATGCACTGTAGGTTGATGTTGACTGCAGGGGCGAAAGCTAATATCCAACTTAAAGGTATCGTTAAACAATGTTAAATCTGAGATGCATGCCCTACGCGTTATCAGTGTCTGTAATGGTGTAATATTGAAGCCCTAACAAAATTGAGCTTCAAAATTATCACGAAGTGCATCAAAAAAGTAAAAAATCTTTGAGTGACCGGCTTTACCGTACTCATTTTCCCCAACAGACTGTAGTGTTATAAAAACCGTTACGAAAACGGTTTTTGAAATTTTGATTTCCAATCAAATATCTTGAAAATCAGACAGGCGATCGGCTTGTAAAAGTCATGTGGTTCCTGACTGACATAAAGGTTTATAATCATCATTGCAGCATGAGCTAAATCCAGGATTTTGTTTCAGAATCTGAGACAAAGATACTCAATCCATTTAAAGGTCTCGTGGTCTTGTGGATAAGTCTCCGGACTATAAACCGTAGGCTACGGGATTAGAATCCCTGCCGCAGGACTAACTATGCAAGCAACACATTTTATATAATAATTGTCCTTTTCCACCTAAGTGTTGAATGGCTATCTGGAATGAGAATTCCTAGAAATAAACTGTGCGCCGGTGAAGGATGCCAGTCGGGTAAAGATATCCAATGTGCTGCAAAGGTGTTGCGGTCTTGTGGATAGGTCTCCAGACTGTGAACCGGAAACCACAAGCTACGGGGTTCGAACCCCTGAAGAAGCACTAAAAACTTTTGACAAGGTATTCATTTAAATTTGTCCTTCTCGATCCAGGTATGAAATGTGTACCTGACAGGATGTATTGATCAGAATGTACTGTGCGCTGGTGACCGGAGCTAAAGCTTGGGTAATATAATCTAGAAGTGCGTAGGGATGTTTACGCTATAAATAAAACACTAAAAAGATAGTGATCCACAAGTTTACCGGATGGTATTTGATTAGAAGCAATATACACAGTGTATAGATTTTATTCCAATAAATCAAGCAGACTACTGCTGAAAAAGAGTCAGTTGTCAAAGGCCATTTTCGTGATGTAACGAAATTTTAGGCTTAAGTCTTTGTGAAGTGATTCAGTAAAGATATTCATTCACCTGTTAAGAAAAATTGTATTTCAATAGTCGGAATGCAAACTGCATATATTATGTGATGTTAGGTAGGGCAAGTCATAATGTTTGTCCTACCTAGCAAACACATAGTTCAATATGCAATTGCAATTGTTACAATTGAACAGGTGTTTGAAATTTTTTTTTTGAGGCACTTCACATTAACGTAGGTATTCAATTTGGTTACAGTACGAAAATAGCTTTGGAAAGCGTTAAAGGGGGTGAACGTACTTCAGGTTCTGGCAATTCTGTGATATTGACTAAAATCTAGAAACATATCCTTAAATGCAGTAACTTTTTTAAAGTCATCGTCATTGTCGAATAGATTCTGTACATAGTTAACTTATTCATGTAAATGCAAATGCGAAAAAAGTGAGACATATTTTTATAGCTTATAACCCATGTTTCGCTTGTTTTATTTGAACAAGTTTCAATCAATAATCTATTCAAATCTTTTTTTTTTTAAATCGGGTGTATAGTACTTAATGGATTAAGTTCATTGTCTGTCTGATTATGATATTGCACTGGATATCAACTTACCGAATACAGAGTTTTAAAACATTATAGGCCTATTTTATAAAATGCTGCCCAATATTGATGGCGTTTTCTTAAAAGCTGAAAATCACGCTGGGCAAATGAAATTAATTTTCACCGGTATTTTAAAGAAGGCTCTTTTTTAAAGCGAGTCGAAAATCAATGGTACTTAATCACATGACAAGTAATAAATGATCCAAACGACCACTAGATCTGCATAGTAATACGTCATAATGGAGGATCCCCCACCACTTTGAGTTCAATTCGATTAATAAAGAACATCAGCCCAGTCACATCATCAATTATAGCAATAATCGACACAATTCGACCATTCGGGGTAATGTATGTTTTGGCTTTGTCTATGATCGGTCTGTTACCGGGTCTCGTCGGCCTGACTAGGGGTATACACATGGTGGGTGCACAGCTTTTCTGAATGGAAACGCAACACTGCAGTGGGTATGCATGGCTTCAATGTAAATACTTTGGTTACCATCGAATATGTTATTGCTTGAATATTTCACCCAAAGCACATCGTTCCCGAAATAGGGTAATTATGAACAAAATCATTTAAACGACAATCTTGTATCTCAGATTTCATATAAATAAAAATAAATATAATAGCAAAATATCACTGAAATATGTTGGGCCACTGAAAAGAATTAGAAAGACAAGAGACCTACTAATAATGGAACAACTCAATTTAGGTCCATACATTTTTATATTATATACAATTTGATTCAACATTGATTCAACTCAATTTTTTTAGGGGGAGCTGAGGGGTTAACAGTCGGTTTACATTTACATTTGTGGCACAATTTTGTTGTGTTTATATTATATCTTTTACGGATACCCGCACAATTCACCAGCCACCCCCCCACACACCCACATCCAAACACCCACACCACACCCTTGGCTATACACAAAATTACGAGATTACAAGAAGGAGTAAGCGAGGGTTGTGAGATGTCGTTGACTGCATGCAAGAAAACGTGAGGTGGGCAAAAGCTTTGCAAATGCATTTATTTTTAGTTTTTAAGTAGATGTGAGCTACATTTGTTCAATCTGCATACAGAAACGATTTCCGAAATTAAATGAATAATTCTTAAATTCTTCCCGAAATAGTTAGACAAAAACAAGATTGAAATGGCAATTTCTGTTTGTGTACAGATAATATTTCGACCATCTGTATGTGTATATTATGTCAAAACGTATCTTACATTTATTAGATAATCCGAGAATTTCAATGAATCCAAATCAAAATTCAATCTACAAAGTAGACATATTCATACATGAGCAGCGAAGAGGCACTTTCTTTAGAGTTTTCAAGTAAATAATTAAGTTTTACGGAATGATGTATAGGTTGTCGGCACACAGAACGTATTAGAATTAAACATAATTCACAACAAACTGGGGTGTATGATTACCGGCCCTACAAAAGAACAATATAAATACTGAATTACTGATGAGGATATCATTAGTAAAAAAAAAAAATGACGGTACTAATATGTGTACGGTACATAGAAAATAACTTTTAGCGGTAAATTTCTATAGTATCTATACATTTCTCTGGGGTAGGACGACTTTATGTGAGGACACAATTTCTCAAAACAGTAGCATCGGCTGTGTACTGTCGCCTCGGTCCAAAGTAGAGGCGCGAAAACTCTTCCCCGCACCGACGTGATTCCGTCACGAGCTGGTACCTTCCATGTTTCTAGTTTTCATACCTTTTCCCTTGCCTTTCCTATCTAACTCAACTTAACTATTACAACTCCATTCTCCCTTTCTCTTCCCCCTTGTCTTCCCCCCTCTCTCTCTCTACTCTTGTTTTCTCTCAATTTATCCCTCATCTCTCTCGATTTCTAGCGCTCCATTCCCCTCTCTTTCACTCTCCATGAAAATACGACTGGAATCCATAGAGCCCCCCTCTCATTTTCGCTGCCTCCCGACTCTCCGTCTCATTTTGTCTCTCACGTGTTCAATCTGTTTTCCTCTTTTATATTTCTATCTTGCTATCTGTCTATCTCTGCATGTCTGTCTCTATTATATGTATGTTCCTATCTCTCCATATCTATTTCTCCTCTATGTCTATTTCTCTCTCCGTTCCTGTAACTCCCTCTTTTCTCATCTTTGTCTGCCTTTCTTTATGTTCCTACATTATTTCTTTCGATCTTGTTCTTTTCCATTTAATCTTTATCTTTATTTTTTCTTTCTATTTTTTAAAATCGAAATTGTCTGCACTTAATTCAAGTCTCACACTCAATGGTTACCATTATGCACCACACAGTCAGTTCCTTTACAATACCCTGCAAAGGTATTAATTTTATAAAGTTATATGTTTGGCTATCCAAGCCTTTCCTCTTGCGTCTGAACTTTCTCATCACTCTCACCCATCCTATATTTCATCCAATCTTAAACTCGGCGTATCTCATCTTCATCCCTTTTCCTTCCACGCCCATTTTTGCTTCCATGTTGGATCTGTTTTTAAATTTCGAAGCCGAGATGACGCGATCGACCTCACGAAGCGGGCCGC